CATCAATCACCATTTGAAACATGTTTATTGTACCATATAAATGAAGAAAAAAAAACCATAGATAACTGTTAGAACCAGCTCCTAATTATTAAATTTAATTTTGCTGGCCCAATCAACAGTACTGCAATTTAGGGGCCATGCTTTAATTAAAATAAAATTAAGCTGCAAGGAAATGCTAGTTTTACTTCATTGACATTCTGTCCTTCCCTTCCCAAACTGCCTGATGTGTTTCTTCTATTAGTTTCTCTTCCTCTGCAGTTTAGAAAAGATGTTTGTTTAAATATACACACACACGGATGAAGGTAGACCAGTGAACAGATTGTCTAGCTGGGTCCTGTTTTCACCAGCAGATGATGTGAAACTCTGAGCCCAAGGTTAGTGTTAATTTGCATGCGATGAATCAGTTCCAGCCCATTCTTCCTCTCTTACCTATGGGAACATTAGCACTATTTTATTGCTCTCATAGACTCTGAGGCAGCATGACTAGGGCTTGAACAGACTATACCCTGAATGCATGACTCATCCTTCACAGTCAAAGCCTCACAGTTAAGTTTCAAGAGCAGGCACCATTACTGTGGCTCTAGGCAGCACCACATTTTTGAATTTCATTTCTAATGAACTGTGATGATGATGAACTCCCACAAAATATATTACATGGTCAAAGCAATTGGCAAAAAAATACTTATCAGTTGGAATACACAGAGTCACAATATGCTTCAAAAAATGAATGAAGTCCATCATGCTTATCAGAAAATTGCCCTCATCTGTGGTTTGAAAAATCTTCTGGTTCCTGGAGGTGAATTATCTGCACCACTCATTCTACTGTAAAGCCATCAGCTTTAGTGTGCTCATAGCCTGCAGTAAACAAACTCAGTCCACTTTAACGTCTTGGGCTTTCACAGCCTTTTCAAAAAGTAGACAAGTTGAAGGTTTTAGCAAGGGGGTCTAATGAGGACATTGTGATGAAAGAAGATTAGATCTTTCTCAGGGCAGACATAATTTCATGTTCCTGTATCTCTTAATTCTTTTTTAAATGCACATCAAAAACATTAGGACTTGGAACACAGTTAAAAAAAGTGTATACAGGTCTGTTCAATTTTTGCTTTCGTTGACAATATGATGCCAATATTTGTATTTTTCAAATAACCACATTACTATTTTATGTTTTGTGTACACTTGATAATAGTTCAATAATATTCATATTTGATCAATATTAATTCCCATAACACTTACAGTAGATACTATGTGCTCTTAAATATACACCATAACATTAAAGAGACATAAAGTTTCAATTGTGGAGCCTTCTGTCGTCACTTGAAGAAGGTTCCACAGCCGAAACCCTGTGTCTCTTTTGTTTTCCTATCGGCATAGAATAAACCTTTAACTGCTCCTCTGCTGCCTATGCATGCAGACACAGCTACGTCACCTGCTAGAACTTCTATGCATACTGTATATAAAGTACTGTATATATACATATACATGCCCATTTCATTGGTAAATGTTTACAGTATAACACTCACAGGCCTTATTAAGGACAAAACAGAATTAGATGTCTGTTCTACCTCTAAATGTAATAGAATGACAATGGCTAATTAGTTTTAACTCCCAAAACAGACAGAACAAGCTGTCACTTTTTCAAAAATAGTAGGGTATTTTACTCTAATTTAAGACAAAAACATGTAGAGAACAGATATAATATTTCTGAATGAGCTGGCACAGATTCTCATGAAGCCAATGTTCCATCATAGATTGAAATGGTCACAGTTTAACTGCCAAAGATATAATTATGTGTTAGATTATAGTATTTTTAATCTATATTTGTGCATCATGGTTGGAAGTCATGATTATTTCTCAGTTTGTACATTAATGTGACTAATGGAAGAATTTTTTTCCAAAACCTAAAACATTTCTTCTTCGTTGAATAAACATTGTTACAGATTTTGTAGGTACGTAATTTGTGCATTGGGTAAAATTTACTTTGTACTGCGCTATATGGAAGTCTAGTAACCAGAATGTAACAAAGAATTTACTTGGCCTGCAGTTAATGTTCTTTTTTACAAAAATGATGGGCAATACCATCATGATTCAGGACTGTATTACAGCTAGTTCAAAGCCAGAGTGCATTATAAGTAATTAAAGGAACAAAGTCTTCTTCTAAAGAAGATGTATTGTGGATTGATTTGATGAGACCAGCCCTTTTTGGAACACTTCTTTACAATCCCCAACAGCTTTTAAAAGCACTTAAGTGCACTCGATGTGCTAATAACAGCACTTTGCTATCAACATGAATCAGTGGATATGTGTGGGTAAATCACTTTGAAAAACAGGCTTGATAACTATTAACTATTGCAGGCAGCATTTAAAGAGATTGTTGGTAAAATAAGGCAGATGATAAATTCAAAAAGAATGCAAAACAAAAAGCAAAGTTTCACAAGAACATTACAGAGGTAAAGTATGCAACAGCAGTACTGAGCTATCTTACAAGATCAAGGATAAAGGAACCCGAAAAAAAATCATTACATTAAGGTGTCATGGTTGTCTACTGACTCACAGCAGAGTTAAAATCAATATTTAACAAACAATATCCATACAGTTCAGTATGTCCTAAATCTCTCATTATGGAAATCATCTGACACACGGATATTGATTTAAACATTTCTTTATTGTATACTGAGATTTTTTTTTAATTTCATGAAGCCAAACCATTATATTTTATGAATACATTTAATGTATTTAAACTGGTGTTTAAATGAATACATCTGGGAAATGCATTTGTAACCATACTGTTAAAGAACAAGAAGAATGGTAAGTTGTCCTTGACACATAATTTACAGTTGCAGTTTCATGTAGCAGTTCATCTGTTTTTGGAATAATTATGTCTGGGGGTAATTATTAACAACCTTAAAATTAAATTCCAGAGATTCCTGGCTCTCAAAGAAGGATGGTGTGACAGATATGGATTTACACTTTTCACACAGTGGGAGACACATGAGCACATCTGTGAGTCAGGCATGCACAAGCTGCCATTTTGTGTATTGTATTCTGCCTGTGTTGCAGCGTAATAACTGGGTATTTGGCTTTGGTTGTGTTCAACAGAAGAGGCGCTAATTTAATGTAAAAAGATACTTGGAAAAATGATAAAATGATTGTACCTTCTGAATTTGAAAGCATGGGGAAATGGTTTATATATATAGTATGAGTTCTGAGAATTACAACTATAGAAACAACCATAAAAGGTAGTATCATACAGTACATACCAGTGCTCAACACATTGCTCTTTTTTGAGGTGGGAGGACCCCACAAGGTATATACAGAGAATTTACTGTTTAGACCAGTAACCTCTGTTCTAGTCTATAAATCAAGATTGACTAAAAGATAGATGAGGTCATGTCTCGCAGTTTCAAATACATATAAAACTTCAAATACAACTTTAATTTTGTTTGTTTTTTTAGCATCACCTGTACAGGTGCAGTAAGCACTTGCAAAAACTCAGTAATAAAACAAAGATTTGCTCAAAGCTAGTCAATGATGCATTTTTAATCCTACTATAATAAAAGGATGAAATTGTTTTTTGATTGGAAATTCCCTTTAAGAAGACAGGCTGATACAAAACAGTGAGCATTAACAAGGGTTTCAGCAGAATTACACTAATTACAGGGCTGCAGCAGAAGCATTTGTAAACATTACAGTTTTGAACAAGCTCCCACAATAACTCATTACTGTTTCTCTGTAGCTCTGGTACTAATCACAGCCCACCTTGCTTTCAATTTGTAAAAAGCCCAAATAATTAAATACAAATACGCACTCAATTCAGTGAACAAAATTAAAACACTTTGACAGCATTCCCTTATATGGTTTTGTCTTTATCGTATTCATTTAGAGATTGAGAAGTAACATTTCATGGCATTGTTTTTCAGTTCCACTAACATTCCTGTTGACCTCTTAAGCAAAGCAAACTCTTACGGAACAGTTTGACCTGTGCACTTAAGTTCAGAATATTTTGGACACTGATGCAAGTTTAGAATACTTTGAAACAGTGCACACATGTGGGTAAAGTAGAATATTTTGTATATTAAAGCTTAAGAAAAGTTAAACTAATGAGGAGGCTTCCCTGTCCTTGTCCTATACAAACTGTTTGTTACACAAGACCCATCTGTGCTTGTGGGGGTCTAAAGAACAAGAACATTTGTTAATATCCTAAAATTGGTTTGATATGACTGATTTACCTGCCTTTCCCAGCTCTTAAAGTGCTACTGCTTCAGAGAGACCTAGAGACAATTCACACGGATGTAAAACTACCCTATATGTCCTATGGGATTTTCTTCTACTTGTAGTAGCACCTGCCCAGGTGAGCCCAACTTTAATAACCCACAGTAAGTGAAAACACGGACTGGTGCTTTGCCGTATTCCACAAAAAAACAATCTGTTCTGCTTGGCCAGGCAGACTGCTTAAATCACAAAGCACTGTAACCCTGCACCAATCACCTACTGTACCTGTAGCAAAGATCAGGTATCTCTCTAGTGCTGTTTTAGTGGCCCATGAAAAACAAAATACTGTGACAAATGTATTAATCCATTGTTGGTCTGCACAAGTTAATCATTGGAATTACTGGACAATCTTCTCCAGGTCTTTCAACCATCGTCTGCATTCCAATTAGTGTTAAATTTTCTGGATCCATTTCTTTCTGCTACAGTGAAAACCTATGGTGGGACACAAGGTCAGACAAACATAATAAACAATTTTCAAATGCCTTATAGATCAGATCTGCACTGGATTGCACATGTTCTGCAGAGGGGTTTGATTTCAGGTCTCCGAGAAACATTCCATCTTTGCAACCAAATTCCCATTAATTTGTTCTGCTTCAGGAAAAGTAACACAGAATGCATTTGGCTTTGAACCCTCAATCAAAAAAGAATACTATTTACATCTTTTTGTCTTGTTTGAAATATTAATACCTAAATGTTCAAAGTTAAAGAGACCATATTAAATCAACACAGAGTAAGACAGGGATACTTCAGTTTTATTACACTATTCCTGATCCAACGTACCCATGTGTCACACATTTCATCTTAGAAGGCATGCCGAAACGCGTTGCTAAATTAAGGTTCTGTTGTACTGAAAGAGCAAGGGCAAGTCTATATTTCTTCTTATTTTCCAAGCACTTGGGAGAAAAAAAGAAAAAGAAAAAAAAAAGAAAAATTGTCTTTCACAATCTTCAGCCTGACAGCCAAAGTAAGCGTAACATGGTTCTATTACGGAGGATTTCAGAGCTGGAAATCTTGAATCTTAAGATTGCCATATGAATTATAATCACAGCAAACAACAAACATTTCAGTGATTTCAATATTCAACGTGTGAAGTCTTAATGACAAGGAACAATGATATTTGAAGTTAATCTACACTTAAATTGCAAAATTTATTTTCATAGAATACTTTTTCAAAAATTACTCATTTTCATATACTGTACATCTATCCTAGACATGAAAATGTTTACTGCTTAAAAATTCAGTTTTAATTAAAAAAGGGGGTAGATTAAGGCAATTGTCATCTTAATTAAACCATTTTAAAAATACAAACTTTTCCTAGACAAATGTACTTAAACTAAATCAGTCTTTTAAATCAAAGTTAAACAAAAGGCACTTACAGACTTGATATTTTAAAAAAATTGGATAGTGCAACACTGTCTGGGTTTTTAAAAATCTGGAACTAGTTCAAAAGTGATGGGGTATCAGGAGTGTTATAAGGCAATAGAAGACTTTGTTGTTGTTGTTAGCCAGAAATGTGTAGCTACAGTAGATAAAGCACACAAAACAATGGGAAGAATCACTGCATCATTAAAGTGTTCCAATACTCTCCATATTTGTCCTCCTGTCATTATAAACATACTCATACATCAGAAAAACAAGACCATTTTCAATGTTTGTCTCAAATTAATGTTTTGGTATTACTGGGTATTCAAAGGAGATCAGCCATCCAGAGACTAAAACCCTTACTGACAAGCCTACTGTATATTAAAGAAGGGTAAAAAAGACAGCAGAAAGAGTTTGTTGCCATAATAATCAGAAAGCCCTCCTGACAGAAGTAAGATGGGAATTTTTAAACAAATATCACAGTTTCAGAGACATTGTTGACTCTGACTGAACCATGATGTGTAGCATTGTGGGAATGAAAGAAAGGCAGACATCCATGGAAATCTAAACCTACTGTAGCCTCAAAGCTACATTTTGTGGAACTTTATCTGAAAAAATTAAACATAATTAAAAGCAATTACCTCCCCCCCCTTAACAGCAACAGAAAAAAGCTGCCCAGCTGAAACAACAGCTGTTTTACTGTTGCATAACAGTAAAAAGCCATCATGAGCCATTACTGCCAGCTGCAGTATCAAGGCAAGACATCACAACGTACTTACAGGTCAGACAGAATCATTCTGGGCTGCTAGGTGGTGAGTGGATGTGAATGAGACTGAAAATGCAGTTTGTAAATAATCACTTTGCCATGTGTTAGAGCCAAATAACACATAAACTATGTCACTTCACAAATTATTCAAAAACAGATCATCAAAATGAAGGCGAAATTTAAAACTGCAATTGATTTCCTTGGCTGCTTTAGCTCTTAGATGTTTTATCTTCAATGTCAGACTGCCGGTTGTTAGAGGGTTATCTCAGCGTAACATGGACAGTTCGCCAACCACTTGTTTTGTGGTCCGAGCGTTCCTGAAAGACATAGAAAAATCACAGTAACGGCAACAAAAATACTCCGTACAGTTTTTCTGAAATCCCTGTAGTGAAGAGACCAGCCAATAGTAAAATATCAGTGCAGGATCACAAAGATGGCACTTTTTAGCACAAAAGCAATAAACAGTTTGCAATGCTGTATTTAACCAATGCAAGTTAAATACAGCATTGTATTTAAACTAATATTTCCGTTTTGAAAGCATATATACTGTATACATAGTTGTAAAAAAATTTCTGAGTTCTGAGATTTTAAGTCCCCATGACTTAAACACTAATACAACTGTTTGAGTATTGTTTCTTCAAAATGTAAGGCATCTATTTCAGTAATTCTCCCTTTTAAGTGTAATATTAAGTTAATATTGTTTAAACTACAATAATACTGTATATTATTTTTCTAAAATGCTGTTTTTAAGCAATTGTTAAAATTAGGCATACCTAATACCTATCTAAAATTTAATCCATTTTACCTGACCAAACTGATGTTTCCTTAGCTTTTTTTAAAAAATGCAGCAGAATCTATACAGATTTGTATAATTTTAAACAATATTTAAATATTTTCTTTCTAGTTATACCAAAGCTTGCTGTCACAATGTTATGTAATACCCAGAAAAAATATAATTATCAAACATTTACAGGAGGTATATGAATTATGCTGCCTGATATACAACATTCATACACACTCTTCTAAGCATGGATGAGTCACTGGCCATGAGACTGTTTTAATCAGTTGCGTCTATCCTGACTGTTCTAATGTACTGTACGTATTAACTCAGTTGAATACTGGGGGAAGCAACTTACAGACTACAATCTCATATAAGGGTTCAGGTGGGACTCATTTTCTCTTTTGATCTGTTATGCGGTGCACAGGAGAGACATAATAACATTGCACATGAACTTAATGACTTACTCCCCTGTGGTAAGACGCCATGATGGCCTGTCCAGGCCTGTGCAGAAACCCAATAGCTCAAAAATATTTCTGTTTGGGTCCGCTTAGTTACCTCATCAGCGTACAGAGAAAGCTATAATGCGTGTCACTGAAAACTGGAAGTCATTCTGAAGACATTATTTATATGTGGTCACAGTGTTTAAGGAATACCAATGGCTACAAACTGTTATGTTAGTGATACAACCAAAAGTATTACCTGGTTATTAAGATTTTTTTTTTAAATAGTCCTGTGGTTGAGTTTAGGCATGCTATTCTGTTACAGGTGCAGCTCCTGACATACTGTACTTAAACTGTGGTTGTGTCTCTTTTGGGGGAGATGAAAGATGTCATGACATATTTAAAGGAAAGCAGGTGTGTTCACTTCCCTTTCCTAAATGAAACTCTAGAATATATCAAAAAAACGTTTGACTAAGTGCCTCAAACCCTTGACAACACCGTAAGGAAATATGACAATTATTAATCCTATTTTTAGTTTACAAAAGCAGAAGTAATGTATTTGAAGTTTATGAAGCCATCAAAACACAAATGTAGTCTGAGTTTGAAAGACTTTTTTCTCCCTTCCTGTACCTTCCATATATCAGTCATGGGACAGATCCACTTTGATCAAAACAGTAAATTTCAAATTAAGACACCTTTTATCTGCTTTTTTCATAGAACAAAAAAAGGTTTTAGAATGAAAAATGTATGAGGTGAGAATCCAATTGTAAACACACAGAAGTCACTTCTGTAATAAATAAAAAAGTACTATTTTTTCCAAAAAACCTTTGCAGGCCTGATTGCTGTTATAATATGGATCGTTTCATTTGTTAATAAAAGGAGCAAAATAATGGGAATTTGCAGATCAAATTATAACTTCAGAATTAAAGATTTCAACTACTGAATGCCTAGCTTTGTTACATTTCAGAACTAGTATGTGCATTTCAGCCGCCAGAACAATCTTGCTTAACTGAATTATAAAACGACAAAGCACTGATGATAAAAATGGTGATTTAGCTCATATTAATTTAGTCAAGCCACTGTCATGAATGACTATAAAGAACTCTAGAAATACAGAACTAAACAATGGATTGATCTAATGGTAATGATCCATAATAAGATTATACATAGGCACAGTATAGCTAAAATATAAAAAAACAGCAAAAAACTGAGAACTAAGATAAGAACATCTTAGTTCTTCAATTCTATGTGGGGAAGTTGTGGCTAATTTCAAAACCAGCAAAGCTCCACTAGGAGTCTGAAAGATTTTCATACAGTACCTTTTCTGCTTTCTGCTATGGAGAGCAATGATCACTATCATGGTTATCAGAGTTATTGCGCCAAACACACTGCCCAGCACGATTCCAAGGGTATTATCTGAAAAACACAGGGGAACAGCATTTCATTAACTTTCTCCAAAGGCCCAACGTGAGCACTCAGTCCTCACTGCAAAATTTAGTTTTTGCCCCAATGGCACAGGATGATTTTGGCCCTGCAAGATGTGGTTATTCCCTTTAACCCTTGTTTTCTCTTCACGTTTGCTCGTGATTGAGCTGAGAAATTACAGCTTACTGGATCCTGGTGCTTTTTTTTTAAACACTCCTGGTCACCTCCATGCACTCCTTGTCAGCGCATGTCTGATTGCATCTGGCCAGACGTCAAAAAAATATTATGCTAGTCTAATTGAGATGTACAGTTTGCTCTTGAATGTCCACTGCTTCTCTGCATTAGGTCAGGTACGGCTGTACTGTTTGACTTTAATGTCTTTATAAAATGCAAAAGGGTTTATCGTAGTCTTGTGGTCAGTGTTGGATATTACAATATATACCACCTCCCTTCACTGAACATAAGCAGAAAGTTTAAGATCAATACTCTGCTGATTCATCTGTAGCTCTGAAGATCTGTCAAACATGCCCGACAAACATGTTAGACATGTCTCATGTCTTAGAATCCACTGTATAAAACATCTTTAACCAGCAAATATCATGTTAAAGACGAATAAAAATGAGCTGGGACACAGTGGCATCCGCGACTGTTTTCTGGAACAACATATTACAGGAACCTGATAAACTCTGCACAGCTGGGTCTGTTAACTGGGATGCACATTCCTGGGGGTTCTGACACCTCTCACTGGCCCCTGTAATTAGCCCTTCTTCCTCTGGACTCTTCCCAGTATGCCCTTGCTCTCCACTGCTGGTGTACAACACTCACAGGCCTGCTGCTGCCCTCCTTGCAGTTTCTAATTAAACTCTCAGTGTGGTGCTGCTTAGTAAGTTGTTGGCTGACCCACTGAAAAACAACTCACCGTCAAACCTGTAGCCTGGGGTAAAAATAGAGTGCCCAACACCTTTAATGTACAACAGTGTTCTGTTACCTCTGACCTCAGAGGTTCTCATTTAGGTATCAAGCCTCTTTCTGCTTCAGTACTGTGCCTCTGGATATTACAAATAAAATGCATCTCTAAGGTTAACCCGTCCACCTCTCAAGTTTTCTGAAGCATTGGCAAGAGCAGTCTGTAACAACAACTGTATCATTTCAGACATATTCCACTCAACTGGACAAGTGCTAGCAGCAGTGTAGGTCAGCCAAGAAAAAAAATACTGCATAATATGAAGTTCAGTTAAAGATAAGCATTGCCACTTTTGTATTTTGCATCAACCAAAACTACATTATTCTTTATTTCTATACGATGCAATCTGCTTTAACATTGCTTAAATAACTAAGAAAAATAATGTTTAATTTTTCAACAGGATCACATGGGGAGCGTTAGCAAGTTAATTACAGTAGAAAAGCAGAGGTTTGTTCCTCTGAGGTTAATGGTGAAAAATAGATGAAATTAGGTAATATTTTGTGCTCAATCTACAATAGTGACACAGAGGTTAACATACTACAAATGTCTATTGGACACACCTGAACATATTGCAGATCCTGTAGCACTATATAAATGATTTTTGTGGTTTGGTGCTTGCAGATAATTATATTCTGAAAAGCCTGCTTTACCCCTGAGTGTTACTGAATGCTATTTATTCCACATTTCTTAGGAAGTGGAGTTGTTCTTTATTACCTTAAGTTTAATTACAATTGTATACCTAAACTTTTCAAATGTTATCTAAACTCTCATATCTCTGTCACTAAAACAGAAGTGAAAGCATATTAAAGTGCTCAGTTTACTAATATTGCCATGGAGGCACTAAGATGAAAATATGATAAAGGTCACTGGCCTAGCATTTAACTCAGGAGCTAGCAATTTGATAGTATGAAGCTCAGACTGCAAACCACTATTACAGTTTATTTCTTCTCATCATCTTAAGAAGTGGGTCTTAGATTCAAAGACACACATATGCCTGCCTGCTTTATGAAACCTTCACATTTGGAAGAGGAAAAAGCCAATTGAAAATAAATATCATGGCTTTTAGGTTGTTATCAATCTCATAAGGGATGCTGTGATTCTATCTTTCACACATTCCTCAAAGACATTTCACCTCAGAATGCTGTTCGTGCACGTCTTTTCAGTGAATTTTCATGTTAATGCTGACAACTCGTTTATCTGCCTTCGAAATCTCTCTTCTGAGCTCCCCTATCATGAGAGCCCTATTAAATCTTTATACTGAAAAAACACCATCTAAAACCCTCTTCAAACAGACAGGTATGGAATCAAGGCAGGATACCAAATGCAGGAGTCCAAACAGCAGTCCAAACAAGCCACCAGTCTTTAGAAACTGTTACTGTTACTAGTGAGGGTGAAATATGGCAAAATGATTAAAAATCAAAAAAGGAAAGCTGTGTTAAAGGAAGGAGAAGAGATATAGAACAAAAACTGAAAAGGAAAGGCCAACAAAAAGGTCTGTGGATATTTCTAGGTGATATATTTTTCCCTGGTGTTTGAAACTCTTCAAAGCTTATTATTTACAGTACATTGATTACTCATGTACAGTAATGTACAACATTCTACATATTTAGTCACACTTCATATTCAGAGGCCGGGAAGCATTAACCCCATAGTATGAAAACCCAACCTCTTTGGTTGGGATATTCATTACAACCCTAGGAGAAAGTCCTGATAATCTGGTTTAATTTCATAATGATGAGGACCTGATGAGGATAGGGCTAGAGGTAAGTAGATTATGGTAAATATTTTCTTAAAAGAAAATATAAAGCATGTCTCTTTAATGTGGGAAGGATAGCTATATACACAATATAAACCTAGTTCAGTTATATCTAGCTTTGTCACTTAGACTGTCTCATTTTCCGGCTCAAAAAATAATCCCTGGCTCAGCTATCCAAGGATTTTGTTGCTGCAGTTCTCTTTGTGGAAGAGAGCTCAGGATTTGGCTCTTTTAATCACAAAGCAGTGTTTACTCCCTGGATAGGGACCTTCCAGATTCCATGCACTGCAGGGCTTTTGCACAAAGGGATGAGCTTGCAGTATCAAATAACTGTTTTAAATGTCTCTGACTTTTTATGGAGTTTTTGTTGCAACCTGCCTTAACCGCAGTCATTGTGCTGCTGGAGTATCCCCCAGGACACCTTGAAAAGCGAGAAGTTTTCATCTCTCGAGCCTGTTCTGATGCATGAGTAAATCGACCCCATTCCTGAGCTCTTTAATTGTTTTATACATGTGCTTTTTGCACATTAGATTTGATGTGTCCTTTCCCAAAACTAAAAAAAACACAACAACCAAGTGTTCTTTAAGAATTTGAAAATGGTCCGGTTTGGTTTACCCATACCAGAAAGTCTGCTGTCCTTGAAAGAGCAGTTCAGTTTCTTTCAAGAATATGAACCCAAATGGTTTCCTATGCTTGACATGTTTAAACACACAAAGGTACAGGCCTGACTAGATACTGCAAAACCAGAGCTGTATAAAATCAATACAGATTCAGATTCTTCTGAGAATACAGAGTCAACATCCCTGTCATGTGTGATGCAGCTCTACTAAACTAAAAACATTCATATGAAGAGACAGGATCTATTACACCCTCATTAAATTTAAAACGCACACGCAATTATCTTACAAGCACAAGGGAAACATGCAAAAACAATAAATTGTTATTAGAGTGTTCCAGTAGCAAACTATGCATTATAGTTAAGAGAAAAGTATGCACTAAGTACATTTTACTCTGTATTTACAGTAGTATTCTGTCAAACTGACCTCTGGTACAGATAACTAGAACTCGCCCCTTAAACAATGAACCAAAGTAGATAGTAAGCGCTTTTATCTTGATCAGTTATTATACATTATTCTGAAAGGGGCTAGTACTTTATGATATTTAATTAAGAGCGGGCTTAAAATCTTTTATTTCTTCAGGCTAGATTCAGGTGCTCCTGATTTCCTCCACTGACGTCACGTCTATCACTAGATAGTATTGTGAAAAAGCAGAAGAAATACATATATATATATACAGTAGGTAAACTCATTAAAATGTAATATCTAATGCACAAATCTATATATCTGGGGTTTATCTAACCAGCTTAGTATCCTACAAGGAAGTTACCAGCTCTCCACAGCACACTGAAGATCACTAAATGTCCTGACTGCACAGAAAGAGCTCAAGCACAGATGGAATCAGGCAATATTTTGAGATATTATAACAGCGGAATCTAAAACCATTTAACAAATACCTTCTCCTGACAGAATAAAAATGCTTCCAATATGAATCATTTATGTTGACAGTAATGAACGTTATCAGATAAATCTTGAAATATAACGCCTAATGATACTAACAGGATGGGACTGAACAAAAAAAGGAAGACAAAAAGTAGAGCAAGAGAGGGCTTAAACTTTAAATGAATAGGCTGATACACTGGGCCGGAAAGGTTGCAGAAGTGCACTGTGGTAGTTTTCCCAGAGGGAACAATCTGTTCTTATTTATCTTGTTGTATTGTGAGCTGATGGGTAGTGTCCAAATCAGATACAAAGTGAAATTACCAAACAGATTCTATTTAAAGGACGTTTCCGGCTGGAATGTGATAAAGTATATATATATATCTTAAATTCTAAGCTCTCGTCTGCAGGGTAAAGCTGATGCTGAAATTAGGAGCAATACTGTGAGAATATGGTTTGAACAAGCTGTCTGCATCCCCCCCCCCAATTTTCCTGGTGTCCCATTTCCATGTGAAGCACTGCCCTCTAATGGCAAACAGCAGACCTAACAGATGAAAACAACTGGCTGAGAAACTGAAACAAGGAACCAGGTGGTTTAATTCATAAAGTCAGAACAGGAACTGAGCCAAAATTTAGGAAGAATGCTGGCTAAATGGTTTAATATTTCAGTTTTACTGCCCAGCTAAGCAGACAGGAATATTATGTGCGATTTTTAGTCTTCTCGGCAGGAATGCTAACTTTTAGCCCTCTGTAGTATTTTTGGGTTCCATTTCCTTAATGGAAAGTACTACATCAAGCGTGTCAACACGCACTGTAGGTCAGACTGAGATTCTTTGGTGCTGCTTCACATTCCATGTTTCTGATGGAAAAGATGAATGTTATCTACGTCAAAGTAATTTAATTTTTAAATCATCATTGCCAGACAAAAGCTGAACACGAGGTTTTAGGAGAAGCTCAAAAGAAGCTAAAAAGAGACACTAATATTCAAAACCTGACCTCTATGAAGATCAAGCAGTTATGTGGAATACCTGATACACAGTGTGTGGTGTCACCAGACCAATTCCCATCATCCTGACAGGTGCGCTCAGCTGAGCCTGAGAGGACATGGCCGTCATCACAGGAAAACTTCACAGTTGCTCCTGCGAGATATGTTGTCCCTTCTTTCTTCCCATTGTTTGGTGGGGGGAGCCATCCGCATGATATCACTGGAGAGAAAGGCAAACTGTTACCATCAGCTTCAAAACAAAAATCATGACGTCCATGAGGGCTCTGTACCCCAATCCAAAATCTGTTGAGCCCAGATCAGGCTAAATAAAATGGAAGAAAATTAAAACAATAGAAAGGTCACTGTTCAGAAAGGAGGTCATTCAGATCATTTAACTTTCTGGTGTTTTGGTAGCTAATTGATTTAAGATTCTCATTATCGAAAATAAACTGTTTCAGCAATGTGGCTGCCATTTCCTTATAGATATAGCATTAAGCTTGCTTTGTGAAATAGGTCAGCTGATTTCGATTTTTTAAAACTGTGATTAAAAGGATAGGCAGTCACCCTATAAGCACTCTCAGAAGAGAAACTTTCAATTTTAATGAAGGAAACTGAATAAGTTTCCTAAAGAAGGCTGCTGACTTTCATAATGTAACAGAACAGCTTAGCGCAAAGACTGCAACTTAATTACAGTACTGCACGATTCATTTTTTTAAATTTAAGTAAATGTGGACCAGAAGTTGTGTCTTTTTAAACAGCTGAAGGATGTTAATGTTTTGTAGCTGCAGGCCATTTACCAATCCATTGGTGATGAATTACAGAGCAAAATATGCTTAAAAGGCATTTATGTGAAGGCCCGTCGCTTCAAAGAATTTGTTACCAGGCTCTAGGTCTTTCACGAGAGACATGTGACTCTGGAAGGAGATTCTGGTAGCGTTGCCCATCTTCAGACTCTGTGCCGTCAATGTGTCATACTTGCAGAATTCGTTCTCATTGCACAGTCTCACCATGTCAGCAAACAAAGGGTCTTCTGGGGGAACGGTGACAGTATAAGCAGGAATAAAACTCGAGTCATGCTTTTCTGCAAAGTAATAATTGTCCAGCAAGTACTGGTTGTCATAAGTGAAGAGGGAACTCTCATTAGTAATGGCCCCTGAAAACAAAAAAAAACAAAATATATATTGCATTGCATTAATATATGGCTTTCAAACAAAATGAAACATTTACTTAATCAGAAAACCATGAGATTTGCTTTTAAAAGTAAACTACTTAACACTATAAGCCTTGTCAGACTTCCTGGATGAACAAATTAGTTAGTGATGCTGTTTTATGACCTTTTGGCAAAGATACAATTTAAAACAATATTGAGCAACAAATCTTAATTAAATAAATGAGTTAAACTTCAGCGTGCAAATGACTAGTGAAAGCATGAGGTTTGAACAAAATGATACCAGCCATACAATTAACGATGTTTAAGACTTAGGTCAGCTGTGTGCCACACAGAGTGTGAAGCAAGGCTAATGATGTGCTCTTTTTGCTGCTGCGAGATACCAACAATGTTGATTTAACTCGTGCAACTGACTTCCTCTGATTTCACAGGATCATTTAACATAAAGCAGCACAGCACACATTTAATGCAACAAGCATGACAAAATGTTTTTTTCTAGTGACGTCTGGAAAAAAAATTTAACAGCTTAAATGTCACTTCATTGCATGAATTTCTTAACCCTCTCCATTTGAACCAGCTCTTCTAAATACATGTGCAGCAGTCAGCAGGGGTCTGGTCTCTGGCTCTGCTACCTTCACGAATTTGTTTCTTTTCCTATTGATGGGAAAAGAGCACTAGCTCTTCTCTTGAATAGAGACATGGGCAGAAAAGCAAAAGAGATGTATAACGAACCCAGCAAGTCAGGCTCTGGTGTTAAAAAAACTGTAATGCGCTGAACAAACTACACACTAAATCAAATTTCAAAACAATCAGCATATAACTAGTTTACTGGAGGTCAAGATATACTGTTCAGTACTGCATCTTCCTCAGATTACAAAAAATAATTCATTCATTGTAGTCTACGTGTTCTCCCTGTGTTTGCGTTTAGGTTTCTTCCTAAGTCCAAATACTCTCAGGTTAACTGGATTCTGGGAAATATGGCCCTGGTGTGAATGTGTGCATGTGTGAGTCTGTGTGTGTTCTGTGATGGACTGACGTCTGATGTGTTTTTACACTTCATTCAAAGATGCACTCACAATTTGCCCCAAAGTGAAATAGGTCCTCTGGACTGCGGCGTTCAGCTGGGAGAATCGTTCCATTCTTGAACACGAAGTCATCTTCGGGGCTGTCGTTCATTAATCCCAGCAGGCCGTGCGTGTGGTTCCTGAACTCCTCTGGAAGGAGGACGCTTGCTGACATCACTCCTCCTCTCCCACGCAACTCCACCCCAGCGCCAGATGGAAACATGACAGTGACATTCTGGGGCACAGCTGAGTACAGGAAGACTCCTGTAGGGACACAGTCTCAGTTAACCCTGTTTTTACAGAAAATCATTGTGAAGGCATGTTCGTATTTAAACTGACATCCTACTTCCTTTTATAGGCAAAACTAAAAGCAATTACAGGGAATTCAAGTTTTAATTAAATTCAAATAGTCATTCTAATTAGTTGTGATCCTTATTCTAACCAAATCAAAATGGTGAGACTAGTTCCCCAGATTTGAATTTCCTTTCTTAACATTGAATATGTTTGTTCAAGCAATGCTGCTTGTTTTCATGCAGTGCCCTCTGGTGGTTCAGTGGAAATTTTTGAATACTACGAATTTCACTGTTACCTATTTTTGAAATCACATTTTATAACTATTAAGTCTAAGCCATGCATTAATAGCAGTTTAACTGCATTCTTGTATAGAGAATTCTGAATTTTGTGTTATGTGTTATTCAAATGGTAAAACCATAACCTGTAGCACACAAATTAAATTTGTACAACAGTAATAGACATTACATCTATTAACAGGTTATAATGGCATCATATTATTATTACGGCATTATAAATCAAGGCAAACTCTCCAAAACAAAATTTGTATGAATAGGAAGGAGAATCCAGGCATTTCCCTTAAAGTATGTAGGATCTCATATGCAAAAGTCTGCTTGCAAGTTATTGCTGCTTTATAAATCAACTAAAATGCCTGAGGCTGGGTTAGCTCTGATGAAGGTTGCTCCTGTGAAAATACATCTATCTTATCTGGTGAGTTTAGTGCTGGGAGGCAGACATGTCTACCCTTTAAGTCCATCCAACTCTGCTCAGAGAAGGAGAGGACTTGCTGGTTTCTCAACACCTCCAGATGGTCCTGGCGGTCTGTGGTGCGTATTTCGATAATGTCCGAGTTGTCTTCCTGCATGGCGACTGCAGACAAGCCAGTAGCCTTGGCAAGAGTCCCTGGAAGATGAACACATAGAGAGGTAACAGGCAGGAAAGTTCCCGATAAACATAATCAAGAGAAGCTGTTGAAGGAGAAAAAGAGAGAAGATAAAGAATTCAAAGAAACTGAACTGAATGGAATTGTGAGCAGTGTTGAATTTCTGGTAGTCCATGTACTGTGATGAGCAATTCCAAAGCAAGGTTAAGGGGTTTCAATCTTCCTCTAAGCTTTTTTTCCCATTATATAAACAAAAGGGAAGTAACGAAAAAAAATAGTGACATGTTCCTTTTTAATCAGGCAAAGGGCAACATTTCACAACTAAAAGCAGCCCGAGACCCAAGCCTAGAAACAATCAAAGGATATTTTAGGTTCCTGATGTGCAGCAGGTACTCACCATTCTCAAATGCCACGGGCTTTGTTCTTCCTTGGATGGTCAGCTGTTTGTGAGTTGAATGCAGGAGGTAATACTCTCCTCTCCCATTGAACGTATAGCTAGAGCCATCAAATGTTATAACATGGGGGTCTCCAAATACAATACCTGTGTTGAGGAAAAAAATAATTGACAATGATGTCAGTTTTACTATGGATTTAAATGGCAATTTCGATTTATAACTTAAATCTCCATTTTAATTGTATTAAATTACCCCCACTTTAATAATGCTATTAAAATTACATAAACCGATTGCCACACCCAGAAGTAAGTCCTTTGAAGTCTTAAACAAAGCACAGACATGTGCAGATCATTTTCAACATGCACTGTAAGAGAGGAAAGATTTAATGAGATCTCCACCTGTAAGCAGTATTCAATTGAACATTCAAGCCTTACTTATTGTGTATTTCTGTATATGCACCTATGAAAGTTAAGACTACAGTCCAAATAATGTGGTGGCTTCAAACAAACTTCAGAGATGTAAAGACACTAGGTGAAATAAAAAGCCTGATGTAATTCATCACTTAAGGTTCCACTAGATTTTTAACTCATTAATGCAGTCTTGTCTCCTCTATACGGGAAACCTCGAGCTTCCCTGTACATAAAGAAAAAGAAAATGCTTGTACGCAGTAAATGCCCACCAGGCTTTGGAGTCTTGTAAGTCTTGCAGTCGCTAGATGGCCGATGGGTGAAGTAATAGCTACAGTTATCTGACCAGAGGCAGCAGTAGTAGAAGCTGATGACATCATAGAGCCAGTGGGATACTCCTGGAACTCTTGGGGGCTTTTTGAAGGGGGGAGAGCCCCAGTCATGCCCTCTGTCTGGTGTACTTCCTCCAATAGAATCTGCCGTCAGCACCTGGGCGCCTGTGCTGTCATAGCAACACTGCTGTCCTGCTGCGTATTTAGGACTATTAAAAGTAACAACATTTCAGTTATCTTCATTTGAATAAAATGTTATTTCATGTAGAGAAGCTGTATAATACAGTATATAAGCATGGGCAGGCATGGGTTGATCCGACTTCCGTTTATAGGCAAAACTAAAAGCAATTACAGGGAATTTATGGTTTTGCAGGACAATTTGCAATTTCCCTACTTCTTTCTATTTGCATGAAAGCTATTACAAATGTGAGCTGAAGCTCAATCAGTCTGAATAGCATACTGTAGCTACACTGAGTCAATCGGGCACTGTGCCTCACCACTCACTACTCCTGTACGATGATACTGAAAGATAGGCTCTCACCTGGCCTGTATGGCTCTCACACAGTGAACAGATCCAGGATGGTAGGTGCACACACTCCCCTTTTCAATATCACAACCATAATCTGTCTGAAACAATGTCAAAACAGGCCGCTGTTAACACACTGCTAATCGGTGGAAGACAGCCTGAACATTTATTTGTGCTACAAGAAGTCAAATATTCCAAAACTTTAGCATTTGTGATACAAAACCATGAGCTCTTAGTGTGAATGTTTTTAATTACTGTGATAATTAAATAACAGTTCTACTGGCCTGTAATTCTTTTTTTTTGTGCACTGCCTAATCTGAGACAACCGAATCAGACAGACCAGCCTTTTCTCATCAGCATACATTTCACCTGAAAGGTTACATTTCACCTGAGGTTAAATAAGTCCTTCACCAGACTGCATTTGTGATGCTGAACTTACATGGAATCTGCCAGTATCTGCTCTGGCCTGGGCCAATGTGCAGGGACAGTCAGCTATCTCACTGAGGAAGTTGGGCAGCTTGAGTTCAGTTTCATGCCACCTGAGACATTTGTCGAGCGCCCAGGCAGCAGAGTCCTTTCTGAACTCCTCCTCTAGATGCCAGGCCAGTGCGTGAACCCCACTCCACATAGCATTAATATTCCTGACAATATTAAAAGAGGACAAAATTATTCTCTTTGCATTTTATACAGGATATGGTACCCATGTTGGCAGGCCAACGTCCGAAGAATGAATAAATTGAGTTTAAAATTGAGAAGAAGTCAAGCTCTTGGTTAACCTGAAATATTAACAACACAGCAAATGTTAATACCACAGCAAAGATTAAATAAAAAACATTCTGGAAAAAATACATTTCATACCATGCTCCTTCTGGCTGTGTACTTGGGCTGACTCTTATAGCTCCAACCTCCCAGTCGGAGAAGGGTTTCTTAGCAGGAGATGGGACAAAGCCAAATGAGCCATTGTTTGGCACAGCTTTTCCCAGGGTGTAAAGAAATGACCACTCAGGCTCCCAGGAGCTAGAATAGGGCTCACCTAAGGAAAAGATTAAAATTCAGTGCATGGAGTGTTAACATGTATTGCTATATAACCCATTGCTTTACACATGTACTGTATGATCAGCAAGACACATTCTTATTGGTTGGTGAGCATGTTTACATCAGAACATAAGGAAGATTACCACCGACAAGAGGCCATTTGGGCTATTTAACCTCTTTTGTTCTTGGTTGTTAACTGGAGGATTGAAGGCAGGGTATTGGCTTCCACATCATGGCTGGGTAGCTTGTTCCACACTTCCAAAACCCCGTGTGTGAAAAAAGTGCCTCCTGTGCTTGTGTTTAAATGCACTTCCGAAACATACCTTTTTCTCTGTAGCCCCACAGCTCCACATTGACAGCGTCAGCGCTCACAAACGAGGTGTTCCACACCATTGCTAAAGAGCCACCAGTGTTGGGAGTCCCGTAGTACTGCCATTTCGTTGCATTCAGCAGCAGGATTTTAAACCGCGGATCCATTTTGCTATGGTGGACTATTGGAAAGCACACAAGGTTTATGACCATACAAAGACAAAACACACACTACGAAAAACTGCAATAGGCAATTGAAAAAATGTCATAGGAAATATTTGTACATATGAATAGCACACCTGATAACCATGTGCCGTGCCGGTTGTAGTTTACTCCATTATCTGTCGACACTTCAAAAGGAATCCACCCAGTTTCGTACAGTAATGGTGAAATGCAGTGGCCATTCCTTTCACTATCAACATATCCAGTTGTCTCTACATCCGTATTAAACCTGGAACAATAATTAAAAACTCTTAAGTGGTTGTGGCAAATCGTCCCATTTTCCTAATTTTGCTTTAACACCAGCAATAACAATGACCAGTTTTGTACCCCTCTTAATACAATGATAAGAAAATGTTATTTCAGCTAATGTGCCCAATCTACCAATATGCTCATGCCAGTATGAATCATGTTTGCAACTCCTTGGTTAACAAAAAATGTTCTAGTGGTTATTTATGTTCCTCTCAATGTGCCTCAGACAAAAACAGTGAAGGAAGAAAATACAAGGTTTATCTCAAACTGAGTACATAAACATAACATTCTTCAGGTGGAGACATAACAATGTACAACTCAGAAGAAATCGTGCTCAACAGCTGCCCTCACTATCCTAGTGGGTAATGTTTTATTTGTGAGTGTGCACTTATTGTGAAGGATGACAGTTCTTCCCTTGTGACCAGTCCGCTCAATTTCAGGGAGGCTTAAGGACATTGTGAAAATGAGAAAGACTGCAACCCACAAATCCCACATCCTTAGAAGCTCCAGGCTACTAAACAGATTCTGTTGACATAGTGGGGAGAACTACTGTACATGACTTCAACCCATGCCTGCCTATGCTAATATACTTAAAATAAGGTAGCAACCTATATATTCAGTACGGTACATGGGTTTCATACAAAAAAAACCTGTAGCTCTTAACATCTGCAACGATTTCATGACTGCAAAAAGAGGTACTGTATATTATTTCTTTCAAGTACGTATGTGCACAAGTAATAGTTTATTCGACAGTTATATCTACCGGCAGCGAATTGCAGAACTGGGCTCAAACGACGATTTAAGGATGGTGATGTCGGTACCACCCAACAGTGTTCCAGAATGCGGGGACACCTCCAGACAAAAATTCCTGTAATCACCACAGCAAGTTCCCAGTGGCTCGCAAGTCACGTGGCAAGAACAATTCCCCACATTTTTGCTGGCACAGTTGTTCTCGCACGTCTGTGCATCTGCAACAACAAAAAAAACTGTTAATCATGGGGAATGTGCACCATCTTGAACTGCAAAGCTATATATCTGCCACACCTACAATACGCAAATACATGGTAAGTGAACTTCAACCAATGTCTCAGCACACTGATAAGTCACAAATCATGTATTTTGTTCTTTTCTAAATCAAACGCCAAGCACAGTAGTTCAAGAGATAGGCGACTTAACAATTAATGGAAAGGTGGACGTGTCAACCGGAGAATTAGCGTTATGGTGTAAAATGACCACGTAACGCAAAGTAGGACGTTATTTTATCTAGCACATGGAACTTTAACTGCAATGAGTAGCTATAAGAACATACGTGTTGCTTCTGTTTAACAGAAGAAGTGATTCTAGCAGTCGGATTTTACAAAGTATTTTAACAAAATGAGTTAAAACAAACAAAAGGTTGCTTATGTCAAAGTAATCATTAATGAATAAGAATATTAAGGGTGCCTTTCTGCGCTTGTCATTCAATTTCATACAGTATATGATTAATTTCAGCCCATATAAAAACAAGCACAAAACGTGCTAAATGCAAGCGTTAAAGAATTGTGCATTTATAAAGGCTCATTACAAACTCACCAGTTCGTTCTGGAACGCACGATATCAAAATGATGATTATTTCAAAAAGTAAGATGCCATTTATTCCGACCTTTCCCTTCATTTTACGATGACACAATGAAATATAAAACGGATTTCATAGGCGTTAGTTCTGCCTTGTCTGATCAGTGAGTGGCTGCATGTATTTTTAACATGCAACCGTTATTTTAAAAGGAAGCTGTCCGGTCTTGTACAGTATGTGTACCGTAATGCTCGATTACATTTAAAGTACTTGCTTTTTCAACCTTGGTATAATAATGACATGCCTTTGAATTGTACCAAAGTTCAATCTGATAAAGAGTTCTTATCAATATCTGATGCGTCCTGCTTGTGTGGTTAATATTTTTTAAACCGTGGATAGAGGCAGAAAAATACGAGTACTGTCGTGTGCCAAGTGTATATAATGTGGCATTCCCAAAGACAAACGTAATGTTGGTATATTCTCAAAAACTGCAAGCACACACATTCACGTCTTCCACGTGTGCCCATTTACACTGGTAAAGGGCTTGCCTTGGATTCTGTCGCGAGGCGATGAAGTCATCTGTCTGCGACGCCTTGATATTTTGACTTGCAGGAGAAAACGTGAAGGGATCAATTAATGGTCTCCTGAAAGCTTGTAACATGAGTCTCAGATCTTTCTGTGAACCGTCAGAGCTCTTACATTATTAAGCTCCCTGTCTTTAGGCTTAAGGGATTCCTTTTTGTTATCGATTGCTTTACTTGAGGTTTAAGTGCCAGGCGTCAGTGATGTATGTTGTGGGCACTGTTGTCGCCTCCTTAGTTTTCTTTCTGATATTGAAATGGATGAAGAGGCGAAGGGTTTGTATGGACGTGAAAAGACTGGACGGAAAAACAGTCCTAGTTACGGGTAGTTGTTTATTTTGTTTCATTCATACAGTAGCTACTGTTTTAACAAATATTTTGAGTTTAAAAGCATTGTTTTTTAAATATTTTTAAATATAATATAAAAATTGTTACCACTACGCAATAATCCTCGGTTTAATGGGCTCACAGTATTTTCACTGCAATATGTCTGGTAATGAACAGTCTATTGAAAAGCCTTCTCTGCATACTGTACATGCTCTAGCATCTCCTGATAAATGTTGAATTTACTGTCAAACCGAATATTGATTTTTAACACTGACATTTATGCAGGAGTTTCGCCTTTGTTCCTTTGTAGGTGGCAATTCTGGAATTGGGAAAGAGACTGCGATCGCTCTTGCAGCCCGAGGCGCTCGGGTGATCATTGCCTGTCGCGACGTCCAGAAAGCGGAAGTGGCCGTGAGGGAAATAAAGACGAGGAGTCGCAGCCTGAACGTATCATACATGGAGCTAGACTTGGCCAACCTGCAATCCGTCCGAGAGTTCTGCCAAACATTCCTGCAGAAGGAGCAGCGCCTGGATGTACTAATCAATAATGCAGGTGAGAACGTCTTTAAGAATCTGATCTCCTCATATTGTCTACCGAGTGTACTGTATTTGCAACAGTTGTTGTCTTATGACTGATGGTTATGATGTTTCTGTTTTTCGTCTTGTTTCCAGGAATGCCAAGCGTTCTTGGCTGGACAGATGACAGATTTAGCATGTGCTTTGGTGTGAACCACCTGGGGCACTTTTTGCTTACCAGTCTCCTGCTGAACCGGCTGAAGGAGTGTGCCCCGAGCAGAGTGATCACTCTCACTTCCTCTGTGTACAAATACCAGAAGCTGGACTTCCAAGACCTGAACTACAACGTCATACCGTTTTTCACCTTTTGTCGCAGTAAGTTGGCGAACATCTACTTCACTCAGGAGCTGTCCAGGCTGATGGAGGGCAAAGGTGTGACTGCCTACGCTGTGCATCCAGGTTAGTTGTCATTGTCGGGTGTGACTGACGTGTTCAATGCTAAGCATGCAGAAGCAGCCTGGGAAAACCTGAATTATCCCAGATAAGACTGATCTGTTGCAGATAAACTAGTTTTAAATACTATTGCTTTTTTTTTTTAGATATAATTCCATTTTATTATTATGCACAGGCATTACAGAAACCCGTAAAAAAACACGGCTGCAAAAACCAAATCAAACTCTTTCTGTATACATTAATGTCAGGTAAGATATACAGAAAAGCTTAATTCATTGACATGCAATTTGACTTGTCAATTACACTAGATTGTAAAGAGTTCCATTTCTTATAATAAAATATTAACATTCTGATTAATATACTGTATACTTAATGTCACTAATCTACAGGTATGTAAACATTGATGGGATATGCTATAAAGTAAGCCAGGGAATGGGAGTCCATCGTTTGTATTCCTCTGTTTTTTTTCCTTTCAGGGTTTGTTCAAAGCAACTGGACGTGCCACTTCTCCATCCTGTTTCGGATAGTGATGCAGGTGATCATGTACATGTTTTTTGTGTCGTGTGAAGTGGGCGCCCAGACCGTCATTTACTGCGCCGTGTCGGACGATGTGCTTCAGTACAGCGGGAGCTTCTTTTCCGACTGCCAGCCCACACCACTGCGACCTTTCGCACGAGACGCCGGCGTGGCTAAAAAACTGTGGGAAGCCAGTGAAAGAATGGTAAAACTCCCCTGAAGGAGATGATCTAATACTGTACATGGACTTTTTTTTTTACAAGAAACACATTAAAAGCATTCTTTTGAGTTTTACTTGGGTGAAGAGGTTTATGGACTCTTTCAGTTGAAAAGAAACTCCCATTTCTCAGGGCAGCGTGTCTTACCATCCCATATAAAGTATGTTTTTTTTGTTTTGTTCTACAGCTGATGTACTCTCACATTTTAACAAGAGCATCAGGGATTTGCAAAGTACTGTACTGTGAAAACAGAACTCTGAAATGGTAATAGTTTGTGCTGTTTGTTTAAATCATTACTATTCTTATGTCTGTGTCACTGTGGGTTTTCCAGCACCACTCCAGTTGTGAACAGGTATGCATACTGATTAACTGTGGAAGACTTTCTTCTGTAATAAAGAGTTACCTCCATGGAAATCTAATAGTAATGTCTGGTGTAGAATCTACTGTAGTAGTTGTTTAAAAGGTGAAGATAAACATGTGATCACTTTACACCAGAAACATATAAACATCTGTATTTTCTTTCTCTGAACACTTATTTTTAACTTTTTAAAGAGCAAAGCAATACAGTGCAATACCATCTTTCAATTTTCCAGTTTATACTAAGGAACTCCTACTGTATAATAAAGTTAGACAGCTCCAATTGGATTACCGTGCAATAAGAATTTGACCACATCCCCCTGAACACATACTGTTTCATTGAGTCGGTTTTCTTTGCGTCATCTATCACCCATTTATCTTTCGATATCTCTAGGGGGAAATAGATTATCGTTGTGGGATTGCTTTTAATAAGAGATTTATTTTAAAGGAGAGCTTGAAGGCCTATTTAGGGAAGTTCTCTGATCGAGAGGTGGAAAGCTTGTTCACTGTCGGTGAGGTTCTGGCACGAGTGGGGAGACATCTGTGTGAGCATCTTATACTGCTGCTCCTCTGAAGGCTGCCAATGATGTTGTTACTGCATTCTCACACAGCTATCAGCAAGGTGAGAGCCGAGCCACTTTTTTAGCCCTCCAGCAGTGATTAGCAGAGTTTTGGTTTAGAAGATCTCTGCTTTAAACTACCACAGTGAAATCTTTTACTTCTCCTGACATTCTTTCTAAGTCTCAATGTAATGACAGTAACTCAATATATTAGGTATAGGAGGCAAAACGTCAGCTAAAGGTGGTGTTGTAAAAGGAGCTATATTTTCATTAACAACATCTGGCCAGAATATATGTGAGGCAGGGAATGAATACGCTTAGTATTGTAGAATGTTAGGAAATCTATTGTATTTACTTCAAACATGAAACTGTAGAATGGAAGCCTACTGTTTCATACAGCTGGCACCATGTGGGATCTGTATACGCCTTCCAATTTAAACGGCACAGCTGCTGGTAATTCAGCTTTAACTCTTTAAGCAAAAGTGTAGAAAGTTCAATTTTGATTATCATGTTAGAAAACTACTGTATATCACTTCTCTGGAATCAGTCCAGAGAAAAGCAACCATATGCATTCCTAGGCTAAGGGGTCCTACACAAACAGGCTAAAACAACTGAATCTTTTCGTACAAGAACAAAGAAGACTACAGTACACAGGGACCTGAACTAAGTAATTAAAATCTTGAAGGCATTGACAGAGTCAGTCCAGTACATTTCTTCTGTATCAACAGAGAAATACAAACTAGATGTCAGTGTAACGAACAGTTCTTTCCGGACCCTATGCGGACGACACAGTCCGACGGAGTGGGGAAACACTGGGGAAACGTCATGCAGGAAAACGGGGCTGAAGACAAGGGGGCGTGTCCAAGGTGCGCTGGTGCACGGGGGAGGTGTGGCCGAGGCGAACAATCCGAGAGTAATCCATAGAGTATCCAAAAACACAAGGGTAAGTCCAAAACCAGAAGATCCATCAGAACACGGAATTAAAACCACGAAGGCCGGGTCGGAACCGGCGGACAGGGACAAGGAACAGGGGTTAAAACCTTAACGGGACCAGGCGCTTCCTGGTCCCGGACTCGCACGATATGGAAATCAGATGCAGAGCCCGGAAGAGCGTCAGCGCCTGGCTTTTAAGGTGGGCAGGGAATGGGAAACAGGTGCAGAGAATGAAGTCTTTAGTGAAAGGGCTGTAGCACCCTTAAGGAGGGGGGACTATAGTCGTGACAGTCAGTAGTTGTTTTCATATTCCTTTTCTGCTGAAAGGTGGTTAGACTTGTAGTAGGTTCAAGGTAATAAAGGTTAGCTGTGCATTAATATGCAATACAGAGTTTGATTGTACTGTAGGTATGTGAGTTATCAATCCATCCATTGTCAAACCGCTTTATCCAGTACAGGGATGCAGGGGAGCTGGAGTCTATCCTTGCTTGCAAAAGTGTGGCAGGACACACCCTGGATGGGACACCAGTCTGTCGCAGGACTCACGCAGACTCAAACACGCACACACTTTCACGCCAGGACCGTTTTCCCCAGAAGCCAGTTAATCTATAGTACCAGCATGTCTTTGGACTGTGGGAGAAACTGGAGTACCCGGAGGAAACCCACATGAACACTTTGATGAGGCAATGTTCCATTTCAGGTTTTCTGGATGTACACTTTTGAAGACAGAATTATTATGTGACTTTTCTGATTGATGCTTACATGATGAGTCTTTGTTACTGTTAAGCCTTTTTTTGGAGAGAACAGAGCTCTTGCACCTTATGGGGTATACCACACTTGACAAATAATATTTTAGTTGGGGGGGGGATAGGGTTGAATATTTTATACTCATCTTTTGCTGACCAGCTTAAGGTTAACTTGAATATTTGAAAAGACTGTAAATCTAAATGGTGTTACAGGCTGCTCGGTGCATTTCAGTTTGCCATTGTATGTGAAAACTTTAATTGCGCTGCAATGCCACTTGATGGCATACTATCAGCGTGGTGAACTCTGCAGAGTATTTTGCTGGAAAGCCAAGCTGTTTAGGCACCGCAGTCTAATCAGAGCAGGATTGTAAGGCAGGAATTGTAACATTATTAAACAAGATTTCCTACAATTATGCTGAAAAATATTGATTCATTTACATTATTGACAGTTTACAGTGCTGAGAAAGATTTTAAAGAAGCAGATTTGAAAGAAAACATAGGAAAATGCATTTAAACCAGCTACTGTTAAAAATGAAAATAACTGAAAGCAAAAAGAATAAAGTGTCTGAACAGTAGTTACTGATGTCTCATCTGTTATTTTCTAAATAATTCTGTGTAAATCCTTTTAAATACTAGAAATGATCTCTGCAATTCACACATGTTCAGTTTCACCCATTTCTAATACTCTGCACTTTAAGATCATAATGCAAAACAACTACATATACCAGTGTACAGAACTTAAAGAACAGTGTATCAAAAAATAAAAGGAAATTTAATTTAATACTTCATTACAATAGAAAATTCTTCAAATTTGCATTTGCCATATGGTCAAGTAACGGTCTTCCGGTGTTTCCTCTTTGGCACTTCCTCTGTCAGTACTTTCAGACAAAGTTAGCTTTTCTCAAGCATATCTGCTCACCAATAAAAGGGGGAAAAATCTAACATTGTGCCTAGAGTTTAAGTCATGTCTACCTGCATAAGATAAGACCCCACTGATAATATAAATGGACACCATCGACACCATGTTGTGCATACATAAAGATTTTGCTGAAGAAACAAAGCTTCTTGAGCTTTTTGAGAATCAATCTGGAGCACAGGAACGCAACGTACAAGGATTCAGGTCTCCCTGTCTACACTTTGCGCTAGCTTTACTTTTAATAGCACGGAAATTTAAAACTTCAGAATACGGACCTTCCCAGGTTTCTTTTCAATAAAATAATGGAACAGTACCTTATCTGACAAAACAGACTTTTCTCTCTCCTTCAGCAGCTCTCTGTGGAAATGAAGATTAGAGCCTGTTTAATCAAGTTCTGCATGAACCAAGAGGCAGTCTGAGATGGAGGTAAATCATTCACTGCATTTGTTTGATTTTCATCAAGTATTTAAGTCTAGGAATGGTGTTTTTTTTTCAATCCCAACACTGACCTGTCAGATAAATGAATAACAAACGCACCTCTCTGGAAATCAATTTCTCACACGTCTGTTTCTCACACAAAATCAAATTGAATTTCAGCTCAGGTCATGTTTGCATTCTGGGACTCGGTCATGTTATCACTGGTGCTCCATTGGAAATGGTTTGCAATTAAAACAAGATTCCTTATTTCAAAGTGGAAAATCAGTGTTTTGTGACTGACACAAACAACATTGTTTTGAGGGGTGATTGGAGATAGTCATAAAGAAATGGAAATAGATTGCGATGCCTGAATAACATTAGACATACCAGAAAGGAAAATTATTCTTAGCAGTCATCCTGTGGAATCATAACACACTATAGATGTGTGTCAAAATTCCCTAAGAATCTATGAGGCAAGCTTCCCAGGAAGAGCAATTTATGGCCTACCCAGGCGTCTAGGTGAAGCCTGTTAGCAGGACAAACTCTACTACCTACTGTACTTGGATATCTGCTTAATTTAATATTTTCTTTCATATTCATTTTTGAACAGTATAAGTGTAATTTTCATTCGAAATCTCATGCAGGGCATCCAAGGCTCCAGGATGACATCTGGGGAGTTGACAAGGAGCCCATAAAAGTCACTTTTTAAAAATTCTTTGATAGAAACGATCTGCGTCAAATACAGTATCTGTTTTTTTTTCTGTTCGAATCTGGCTGCAGCATTCCTTCTTGATATTCGCCCATGGAATGAAATTTATCCACGTTTGTCTGCCCCATTTTCCATATTTGTGGCGAAAAGTGTGCTTTAGCACAGCTTTCAAACTGAAGCCAAGATTGCATTCATATATATCCCAGGGTTAGCTGTCAGAAGGGAATGTGGTAATTGAGCTGTGTTGGCCCTTTAGGAATGTAAAGATGACAGCCTAGTAATTGACCTTGATGAACATTTCTTGGTAGAGGAGTTCAGCTAAAGAAAATATATTTGTACTGCAGTTTATCACAAATTTAGATTTTAAATTATAGCCTGTCTGGGATAAGAATCGATGGGAGGTAATGAAAGCAGACAAGCGATATGAGCAATTTAATTTGGTGAAAAACCTATTCTGTTGCCACTGGCTTTGGACAGAGGTTGGCCATTACCACCTCTGATTGTGTCTATACTCCAGTGAGCATCAGCAGATGAGGTGATGAATTACATCCACCATACTCAGGTGATGTCAGTACTAATATTTATACTGTCTGTGAGTTCCAGAACAATATGCTTTAAATAATTGTCACATGGTTCAATTTTCCTCTGCACTAATGCTCCTTGATGCACTATAATAGAGTGAGGTGTATGTTGAACTTCATTTGTGTTAGGCTAAACATATAGCAGGAAATAATTTCCATGAAAATGATTCACAATCAAAACTGATATCATGCAATTAATG